TCATAATAAAGTACTTTTGAAACCGACATCAACAAATATTGAGCAGAGTAATTCAACATTTGCAAGAATAGGCATTATGCTGAATTGAACAGCAGCTTTGCTAACAAATCCTTGAATAGAATTGTAACCAGTTGGAAAACAGACTCAATATAGTAAAACCACCTAACGAAGATGCACTCTTCCTATTAACGATTTCGTATGACAACTTTATGGCAAATATTGTATTAATTTCACTGCATTTCCTTCCTATATATAATCTAATAGCTATATGAGTTTCTAAATATTGCTAATATTATTAACATTACCAATGTAATAGCCGTTTATATAATTACACTCTAAAGATTGCATTAAAATTTTTTGCCAGGAATTAATAGCATCTCGTGGTACATTTACAACATTATGATCCGGTTCCGGTAAAGTAAAAAGAACTAGATCTAGCCTGGAAAAAATGTAAAAATCCATGCGTAAATTATAGCATAGTCACATACATTTTTTTAATAGGGAAATATTTTTAAATTTTAATTGCTTGTCGCAACAAAGTGTAGAGCGCCTAATTGCCTAGCATAATTTGTGATGTTTTAAAAAAGCTAAAGCTAAATGGAGGGAATTACATTTTGGGAAAAACTAAGGTTTATTTGGCGAGATTAAAATATGAAAAGACACTATGGTTCTCACACATCAACTTTGCAATTGATTGGGCTGCTAAGAAGGTAAATGTAAAAGGTAAAAGAAAGTAAAACACTAATTGATAATTGCCTTATGATATGCTCAAAATTGTTTCGATGTTGTAGATTAACTAAATACTAATAGATTTTTGAATTTTATTTATTTTAATTTTTAAAACAATCAATGGTTTCTTGACTATTCATCAAGTGCAAACTCATTCAAATTTTTAGACTAGCATTCTGTTACAACGTGCTTCAGTTTTAATATGCCAAATGTTGTGCGGTATCGAAGGACCAGTAAAAATGTTGAGAATTTCACGTTTTTTAATGGATTTATTGCGAAGAACAATAAATGAGTACAATCGTAGCTCTAAGTATCGCTGTTGTTATTGCACTGGCGGGAGCTTAACGACCCGTTATCCTGTTCGTTTTCGTTCGGGAAAGTTCGGTCAACACAGTTGTCGGTCTGGGCGCTTAGCGCGTGATTTAAAATTTGAATTTAGTCACATTTGCACTAACATAAGTCGCCCCCCTTGAAACACTCCAGTGTTTCAAAAGAAATAATGTCACTGTTACGAAATTAGTCTTGATTGGGTAAAACACAGCACTTTATCACTGGTCGTTTCAGAACACCTGAAGTTGTTTGAACAGTAACAGTCCGTGTAATTCCATCTGTACCTGGATGTAGTTGAATGACTCTTCCCAGTCTCCATTTCAAGGGTGGAAGTCCATCCTCCTTTATGATCACTAGGGATCCAGCCTTTAATAGTTGTGTTTTGTTCTCTCGCCATTTTACTCGCTGCTGAAGTTCTGATATATATTCTTTTGACCATCTCGACCAAAAATGTTGAGAAAGTTTTTGCATGCGTTGAAATCTTGAGAGAGTGTTCTCCTTCAACTTGGTGAAGTCGCAATCTGGTATGGTGTTCATTGTTTTTGGAATTTAAACATGCCTCTATTTGATAGAGAACTGTGCAAAATTCTTCAAAATTTAACGACGCGTCGCCAATTACTAGCTTTAAGTGGTATTTCACCGATTTAACACCGGCTTCCCAAATGCCTCCGAAGTGGGGCGCGCGTGGTGGAATGAATTTCCAAAGAATGCATCATTCGATAGAGAATCAGAAATCTGTTTATTGTTAGCGTTAAAAAATTGTCGAATTTCGCTGTTCGCGCCTACAAAAGTAGTGCCATTGTCAGATAATATTTGCGAACATTTACCACGTCTTGCCATGAATCTCCTAAGGGCTGCTAAAAAACATTCTGAAGTTAGGTCAGAAACAACCTCTAGGTGGATTGCCTTTATAGCAAAGCAAACAAATAGTGCAATGTATGCTTTGATTGTTTTGAAATTTCTTCCCTTTCTATCTCGAAGTAAAAAAGGTCCAGCAAAATCGACGCCAGAAATAGAAAAAGGACGAAAAGGAGTTGTTCGTGTAGCAGGCAAATTTCCCATGATGTATTGTTCGGGTTTGGCATTGAAACGAAAACATCGTATGCATTCATGAACAACCTTTTTAACAAGATTACGACCGGACAATGGCCAAAATGTTTCTCTTATTGAAGCTAAAAGAGCTTGGGGTCCAGCATGCGATAAGGCTAGATGTTCATGACGTGCAACCAGAGTAGAAAAATGATGATTGGACGGTAATACGAAAGGGTGTTTTTTGGAAAAGTCAAATTGTGAGGAGTGAAGTCTTCCGCCAACTCGTATAGTTTGAGTGATTGAATCAAAGAACGGGTTTAAACTTAAAAGTTTACTTTTATTGTCAAGTTTGGAGTTCGAAAACAGTCTTTGGTAATCATCAGGGAAGCTTTCAATCTGTACCAGTCGAATTAAATGGTTTAAAGAATTACATAATTCGGAAGGCGTTAAAGAACCAAAAGTACGTGCATTTTTTTCTTTACGAGTATTGTTTATGAATCTATGTACATAGGCAAATACTCGTTTGAGTTTTAACAAAGACGAAAATCGAGAAATGGGAATTATTTTTTCATAAGTCGTGGAAATTAAAGTTTTTTGCCGCAGCTCTGGCAAAATAGTTGCCTTTTTACAAGGTATTTGTGTGGGCCAATGATTTTCTGATTGAATTAACCATTTTGGGCCATGAAACCAAACTTCTGATTCTGAAAGTTTTGTCGGTTCGATACCTCTGGAGCAGAGGTCAGCGGGATTGTCAAATGTATTTACATATTTCCAAGAATCTGGAACTGTTAAAGCCTGGATTTGTGATATACCTGATGAGGACTTGGCAGAACCATCAAATACAACTCGTAAGTTGGTCGTTGTTGAGCTCTCCTTGAACACACCATGATGAGGAAGAAAGAAACCTGAGCTGTCTTGTTGGTTCTCATCAAGTGACATGTGATTGAGTTTTAAATACTCATTGATGAATTCATGATATTGAGTTTTCAAAATGAGGTTTTTATTTAATTTACGTTCTAAATTGAGAAATCGATTGGTTGCTAATGCTCGAGAATCTCCAAGCTTTGAGATGGAGTCCTTCAATGGCAACGTGACTACGAAACGACCGTCATCATTTCGAGTGGTGTTTTGTTTGAAGTGATTTTCACAATAAATTTCTTCATTGGAAAAAAATGTTGTTTTTGGATATTCTTCTAACTCCCAGAATTTCGTTAGTTCAGTTTGTAGAGTTTGATCAGTTGAAAGGTGACAAAAATGTGTTTGAGAAGTGTTGAACATTTTAGCTGTAACTATTGGACCGGAAATTATCCACCCCAACTTAGTTTTCTGTAATATTGGAGCATTTGTACCTAGTTTGATTTGACCAATGCACAAGAGGTCCCAAAATGTGTCAGCACCAATCAGTACGTCTACTGGAGCAGGTTGGTGAAAATCAGGGTCAGCAAGTGTGAGATTATTTGGAATTGTTAATGTTTCCCTGTTGATTGGAAACGCAGGAATATCTCCGGTTATGCTGGGCAGCACCAAGCATGAAAGTGTTCTCCGAAAGTTGTTTGTTTTGGAATTAACTTCAACAGAGACCATGTAATTTACGGGATAATCCAATTGATTGATTCCAAAAATCGAAATTTCAACTTTAGTTTTGGGTAGATTTAAAATGTTACAGCAAGGTTGTGAAATGAAATTAGATTGACTGCCGTTATCAAGCAAAACTCGGCAATCGCGTGGAGTTCCAGATCTGTCAAAAATTGTCACGACTGCAGTGGAAAGTAAAACCTGAGTATTGATTGATGTGTTGACGGTCAGTGTAACAGAAGTGCTGCTGTTAGTAGAAGTAGCACTGTCGCTATCGTTGGCTCTGGTTGTGGCAACAGTGTTTTGTGTGGAATCCTTGTTTGGGAAATGCGAAAGCGTGTGATGAATTTTACCACACTTTCTACAATCTGTAGACTTACAATCCTTTGTAGAGTGTGTTGTATTTAAACAGTTTATGCAAAGGCGTAAACGTTTCGCTGCGTTTAACCTTTCATTTGGACTAAGTTTTGTAAATTCAGAACAATAATAAATTGTGTGGTCTTTTTCACATAAAGCACATTTTCTTGTTGACACAGCTAGCAAAGATTTTGAAGATTTGATAAATGATTGTTTGTAAAATTGTTGTTGTTTTAAATCGTTTGATTCTATTGATTCTAGAATCCTGCATCGTTCCTTTAAAAAGCTAGTTAAACAATCTAAAGTTGGTAATTTATTAGTACTGTTTTGAAATTCCCAAGCGCGACGGGTAGAATTGTCAAACTTGGAGGAAATCAAATAAATTAATAAATCATCCCATTGATCGGTGGGGCGGTTAAGAACATTTAAAGCGCGTAGGTTTTTTTGCATTCCATCTAAAAGTTGTCTCAAGCCCTGGTGAGATTCTTTTGTGATGGTAGGCAAGTTAAAAATTGCTTTAATGTAATTGGTGACTAATAAATGTATATTTTCAAAACGTTCTTCAAGCATTTTCCATGCGACGGAATAATTCGCATCCGAAACTTGCAAAGATTTTATTGTATCAGCAGCGGTACCTTTCAGTGAAAGCCGCAAATAATTAAATTTTTGAACATCCGCAAGGGCACTGCTTTTGTGGATCACTGATAAAAAGGTATCTCGAAAGAATAACCAATTTTCTGCAGCTCCGTCGAATGTTGGCAAATCTAACGTTGGAAGTCTAGTGCTCATTAAGTCATTATTTGCAATTTGTGGCGAATTTTGACTATTAGGAGACTGTGATTGAAAAATAACACTTTCATTGTTAATGGAAATGAAGTTCTTAACCTCTGAAATTATTTTGAAGTAAGTTTTTTCGAAACTTTCTCGTTCAGGAGCGTGTAAATTGTCATAATTGGTGTCACAATTTTCATCGGCAGATTCGATCTGCAGTTGTACGTCATTAACATCATCTAATAATTTTTCAGCTCTGTTCAAACGTGTTTGTAATTCATCTAAATTTGTTTCAGCGCCTTTTATAGAGTTAAAATGGTTTACAAATCGCGTAAGAGAGCTTTTCGTTTGTTTTTGTTTGCATCAGCCATTTTTTCAAATGCAATGCGCTGTTAAAACGATCTAAAATATCACTAACACGTGTAATTGCGTCAAATACAAACAAAGAGAACGAAATGTTGAAAATAAAATGCAAAGCAGTTGTCAAATAAAGGCGTTAAATTGCTAGGAAGTGTGAAAATGGAACGCACTTACGTCGCAGGCTGTATTCAAACCTGGTGCAGTGGTTTCTGGCTCAAGCCGTTGAAGATGATGTCCAAATCGCCCAACGTAAAAACGTCGTAATTGCCGGGTCGGCGGTGCGTCGCTGAAAATGTGAGCGGCGCCGTGAAGTCGGTAGACGGAACAGGGAGAAAGGCGACTCGGTGTAGCGGCAATCGCTTTTGCAGGAGCGCAGCAATCCACAGGTTTTTCACTTTTTTTTTAACACTTGTTGGTGGTTCAAAATCCGGTTCGGAGGAACCAAATGTTGTGCAGTATCGAAGGACCAGTAAAAATTTTGAGAATTTCACGTTTTTTAATGGATTTATTGCGAAGAACAATAAATGAGTACAATCGTAGCTCTAAGTATCGCTGTTGTTATTGCACTGGCGGGAGCTTAACGACCCGTTATCCTGTTCGTTTCGTTCGGGAAAGTTCGGTCAACACAGTTGTCGGTCTGGGCGCTTAGCGCGTGATTTAAAATTTGAATTTAGTCACAATTGCACTAACACCAAACATAGTTCATATTTTAGTAGTTAATATTAAAGTTGGGCTGGGAAACGCTTAGTGCTACAACACTTAGCTATGACGATCCAGGACGACCTTACGGTTCCTAATTAGGACGTCCTTGCAAGATTGTTGGTGTAGCCGTAAAATCAATACACCTCGGGGGCATTTTCCTTCTAAACAGCGATCTTCAAAGACTTAATCCGTTGTTTCCCTAGAAATTTTATGATGTTGATCGAAAGCGAGTTTTGAATATTTTCTGATGTTCGCTTCAAGATGGCTATCAGCATAGGGAAGACTTCTATACCCCATTCTTGTATGAAATACATCAAATTTGTGTTAATGTCTTACTGTTTTAAAGAAATAGAAGATTTTTAAAATAAGAAAGTTTCTTCGATACTGGAATAGAAACAAATATTCCATTCCAATATCGAAAAAACTTTCTTATTTTACTGGTCATTCATCGGTGTTAATTTGCAAATATGGATGCAAATATTTTATTATTATCTTTGGAAAATTTGGTAGAGTAAGAAAAGAAACGTTGACAATAGCAAAGTGGCATAAATAAATATAGAAATGTTTCTTTCTATGTAATAAGCAGCTACACTCAATTCCAGTAATGAGTTAAAAATAGAATTTAGAAGGCTACAAAAATTGTGGCAATCTTTCACCACGTATTGGAAAATTATGGTGTAATACTCTTCTTATGGTCTCCTTCGTGTGACTTATCGAAAAAGATACCTGACGTTTCAATTAAAACTTTTGACTGCGTTTTACGAAGAGACAGTTTAGGACGTTGAAAAGCAAAAAGTCGTGAAGTTTATCGTCTGTTAACAAACTATGGCAATATATAAGCGAAGCCCATAATACAACTTCGAAAGTCTCTCTGCATTATTATTTTCAATGCACTCGAGGAAACTTTCGGATATTCGTGGGCTGTATAAGAGGAATTTAAAGAGATATATAGGGTTGTTTTGAACTATAGAAAAGACAAATCTTTTTCTATCATTCAGTGGTTGTTAGAGGTAGCGTTACAATTTGTAACTGTGGCTATATTAACTTTGAAATGAAAAAGAACAGATAAAATAAAACAGAGAAGACCAAAACTCAAGATAAGCATATTCGCCATTTAGTAAGCTGCCTATCATTTTGACCACTGTCCTCTTTTGTATTGAAACACTTTAATTACAAAAGTCAGCCCATAATTAGACCCTATAATGGATATTTAAGAGAATTGTCTAGTATACACTATGCGCATTCAGATTTTTTATTTGAAGATTTAATTTGTAACTAATCTTTCTGGTTGCTAGAAAACTCAATTTCCTAGGTTTCTGAGAGCTTTGACAGGACTCGGATTCAGATTGCATAATATCTTAAATAAAACTTTTTGTAAAATGTGGTTCACAATAGACCCATGAGGTGGACCATTTTATCTTTATATATTCAGATATTTGGACAGACAAATAATTTGTTGGAGAAACCCCGAAAGTTATATCTCGTGGTAAGTAAATTTTTGAAAGACAGGACCAACGACTTTTACACAATTCTTTAAGGCGACTCTGAATCGTAGGCCTTTTATAATAGAAAGCAATGTAAAGTAGGTATGTTATTGTTTTCCCAACCTGTATTACGCATATTATTACTAACTAACCAAAACTATGATGTTTGATTTTCAAAAATTAGGACTACCTGCGTTCATAATTTGACATAATGACAAAGAAGTACGGATGTTCCTAAAAATTTTCTGAAATGGAGCATAATTGCCATTTGATTTTTTAAACCTGTTTTGTATTCAATTTTTCATCATCGAGAATAGTTTTGGTTTAGGTTTGTGTTAGTTTGATTTGGTGTAGTGAGTGAGTACTGTTTTAATATTCCGTCAAACTGGTTGGAGGTGTTCGACAATTAACGGACATAAACTTGGAATTGTTGAAAATTGCTTTGTCTAGGCTACGAGTGAGATGATTGCGATTGCTTAACTTGCCACACGATGACTTTTCTGACATGACCACAAAACACTATTTTCTTAAAAAGAATTGTAACGAAATAGAATAATCAAATAAAAGCCCAATCAATGTATCTCAATATCTTTATCCTAACTTAAAATATGGATAAAATAACTTGAAACATAAAAAAGCTGAATTTTAGGAAGCATTTCACCATATGGGTTGTTGTTCTATTAATGTCTAAATAAAATAAAACAATAATTAATTATTTGAAAATAAGGTTTAGTCTACTTAATAACTTTTATTTTCTAATTTTTAACTGGAAGCTTCAGTATATTGATTTCCACGATTTTATGCGTGTATTCACAAACGTGTTGTAGAAAAGAGATACCAGTGTTTCTTCATTTCTCTCGTATAAAACGTAACTTTTTAGTGGGTTTATGATATATAACACTCTCTCCTGTTCACATTAAGAGGAGTCACATAAAATATAATTTTCCCTGCGAAATTTTTCCCGATGCAAAACGCTATACATTTTCTCGCCGATTTTAATACCATCGTCTAAGGTTACTCGGCGGTAAGTTGTCTGGCATCGCATAAGCATAAGAAAAGTGCTATTTGAAAGTATTGTACGGAGAGGAAATGGCTGCTATATATTTAAAGTTTTTGCGCGTCTTAGCGGGGGCAAGAGGCGTTGTTTGCCTGCCACATGAATGATGCAAAGCTGTCTTATCTCTTGAAGTTAAGTTATGGTGGTTTTGCGGGTAGAATAGAGAACCATTTAACACTGCGGGAGTTAGCGTTATTTCCAAAGCCGTTCGGCGAGGTAACAAGCCTTTAACTTTTGAATTTATAACGCGGGAAGTGATAGTTAGAGGAATTTATTAATCATCTTTTTCGACACTGCATGACAAAAGAAGTTTTTGTGAAGTGTTGAAAAATAAGTAATATATAATAAATAAAATATATAATAAATATATAATAAATAAAATATATATATATAAAATAAAAATATATATATACGAATCGAATAGTCTCATTAAAAACACTTGGAAACACCGGTCGTTATAAGAATTGTAATACCTATATCTATTTCTATCTATATATCTATTTCACATTGTCTTTACATATTATTATATTTTCCTCCCCAAGAAATACATAGTTTTTAACGTTTTATCCATTTTTGGTTTTTCGCACAATAGCTTGTACATACAGACACAGTAATATTTTTGCACTGTGTTCGTAATAATATATGTATAATATGTAACAATATGTGTATACATTGGATTATTGGAAAATAATAATAGAAAGGACGCCTTTGCATAATTATGAAACCTGCATAATTATGAAATAAGACATTGTACGCTGGAAATTGTAAGATCTAAGGTTTTTCAAGGAAAAAAATCATAATTTTATTAATTAATAATTAATTTGTCTGTGCTCTATGATAATGTTGCAGTTAAAACAGACTACCATTACTACTACTACTACAATTTTAACTATCTTGAACTTATAATTTTCTTAATTTAAATAAAGGACATGTATTTCATTTCGTATTTCGTTACAACGTGCTTTGCGGTTTAACCCAACAACAATATTTTTGTTCCCAATACAGAGAGAAAATTGCGAAACGGAAACTACCTACCGACATAATAGGTGAAATGGTGAGAGCATGGCTTTCCGAGATTTCTTTCAGAAAAATGAAAAAGTTCCGCAGTTGACAACGGGATAATATAATTTCGTTTACACATGACTTTTACTGTGAAGAAGGGACGAGATATTAAAAGACGAAATGGGACGTTTTCCAAGGATACAAATTAAATGTCATTTCGGCCTTTTTGTTCAGAATTATTCGAAAGAAAATTCCTGTCACCAGGGGTATTGGTGCTGGTTTGAGTCAATTGGAAAGTCATTGTATTTGATTTTAGAGCGTATTTTGCATGTTAATGTCAACTAACGGATAGAATGAGTTATTACGGATTCCGAAAAGGTTGCACTTTTTTGAGATCATATATCGCCATTATAATATGTAGATATTTGACACATATGTTTTTTTCACCCAGCTAAAAAAAAGGTTATAGTATAGTTAAGAACGCAAATATAGGTATTTCAAACAGAATATATAATGAAATATAGATCGATTTTAGGGTAGATCAGGTAGGGTGACTTAAGCATCTTTTCTCTAGTCCTCCGATAAGAAAATAATGGATCTGTATAAGCAGAGTGATACGGTTAACTAGCACCCGTACT